ATGTGTACCTATTTAACACTTATCAGAATGTACACTTTAAACTATTCAGTTTATATATATTAATTATGTTTCAATGAAATGGTTAAAATTTATTACTAAATAACTAGATTATGTATAAACATACATTGTCAAATCCATTTTTCGAATGGGACAATCACAATTATTTCTGTGACCTTGCAAATACTCAGTACACGCTCTGATTACAAGACAAACATCAATCCTGAAGTCTAAGTTATCCAAACTCTTTAAGCTTGTTATTGATACTAACATCAGGCATCCTGTGTGCCTTCATTTCCTCAAGAATTTAAGGAAAAGGCCAACAGTGTTTAGGGGGAAAAGAGATCAGACTTCATAGGAAAAACATGTTCCCAAGAATACCAAAGAAAAAATACCCCCCCCAAAAAAATAGTTAAGGGGAATTCAGCATGCCAGTTATCAGAACATTCTCTAAAGCTTCTGTAATTAAACACTATGGCATTAGGCCCTGGCCAGGTAGCTCAGTTGGTTAGAGCGTCGTCCCGATACACCAAGGTTGTGAGTTTGATCCCTGGTCAAGGCACGGTCAAGAAGCAACCACGGCTCTGCCCAGTGTGGCTCAGTGGTTAGAGTGTTGGCCTGCGCACCGAAGGGCACAAGGACACAAACCTGGGTTGCAGGTTGGATCCTCGGCCCAGGTTGGGGCCCATATGGGAGGCAACCAATCCATGTGTCTCTCTCACATCTATGTTTCTCTCTCTCCCTCCCTCTGTCTCTCTGTAAAATAATAAATCAATAATTAAAAAAACACACAATGGCATTGGACTAAAAATAGATCAGTGGATATAATATAGAATCCTTTAGTAGATATCAATATATGTGAGAATTATTTTTAGGTAAAGAACTTCTCCAAGTTTACAAAGCTTAAAATACTTAAGCAGACAATGGACCCAGGTCTAGTTAACTCCTAAAATCTTTTATTTTTATTATTTCTTTTTTGAGTAGGTAATACTCAAAATACCATTGTGTATATTACAAAATACAAAAGGGTGAAAACTTTTCCTGTCAACATTTCCTGTTCCCCAGCAACCCTGTGTCTCTCTCTGGAGACAAACAATGGAATGAGGCTCTTATCTTTCCTTCCAAGAATATGCAAATAAGCATATATATCAAAAGGTGCCATTAAGAAAATAACCAACCAAGGCACAAGCTAGGAAAAATGTTTATACTACATATACCTGATAAAGGATTCATAACCTGAATATATAAACATATAATTCCTACAAATCAACAACAGAAAGACAACTCAAGTTTTTTAAATAGGCAAAAGACTTAAATAGATTTTTTTATAAAAGAGGATACACTAATGCCAATAAGCACATGAAAAAGTGTTCAGTGCCATTAATCATCAGGGAAATGCAAATTAAAATCACACTCCACTAAAATAGAACTGGATTAGCAAAATCAAATGTTGGTGAGGAGCCCTGTGGATCCAACTAGAACTCTCATGCATTGCTGGTAGGAGTGTAAATGGTACAACCACATTGGAAAAAAGTTTTGCAGCTTCTTATAAAGTGAAGCGTACATCAACCTCTACGACCTGGCTTCTTGGCACTTGCTCAAAAGAAATGAAAAAATTTACCCACAAAATGATTTGTGCATGAATCTTCATAACAGCCTTATTGGGTATAACCCCAACTGGAAGCAATCCAACTCCCATCACCAGGTGAATAAATAAATGATTTGTGGTATTTTCATAAGTGGAATATTACTGAGCAATAGACGGTACAAACAATGATTGGTGCAAAACATGGATTAATCTTAAAAACATATTCAGAGAAACAAGCCATTCATAAAGGAGCACATACTGTAGAGTTCTATTTATATGAAGTTGTAAAACAAGCAAAACTAATATATGAGAGTAGAAATCAGAAAGTGGTTGCCTCTTGTTGAGGAGTTGACTAGACATGGATGTAAAAGAATTTCCTGGGGGCATGGAATGTTTTTAAAAATGTTTTTAATCCTCGCCTGAGGATATTATTTTTTATTACTGATTTTGAGAGAGAGAGAAAGAGAGAGAGAAACATCCATGTGAGTGAGAAATATCAATTGGTTTGCACCCTGACCAGGGATCAAACCCACAACCTAGGCTTGTGTCTTCACCAGGAATCAAAACCGAAACCTTTGGTGTACGGGATGAAGCTCCAGCCAACCGAACCATCTGGCCAGGGCAAGTTTTGATGATTACATAGGAGAATACAAAATTCATTAAATGAAACAGTTAAGATCTGAACATTTTATTGTGTGTAAAAAAAAGTGAAATTAAGAGATGGAGTAAGGACCTACAGATAAAAAGAAAGTTACCTTATTTGGATTCTGATTCAACCAAGCGAACAACACAACAACAAAATGAGAAAATTGGAAATTTGAACATTGATTACTTATTTGATGAGATAAAGAACTTGTTGCATTTTAAAGACATGATTATGTTTAAAAAATAAAGCTTGAGAAATGGCCAAATTATAGAAATGGAGAACAGATTAGTAGTTTCTAGGGTCTAAGAAGGAGGTGAGGTGGGAGGGATGTGAGCGGGTATGGGTTAAAAGAGAAATATGAAGGATCCCCTTGTGGTGGAAATGTTCCATATATTGACTAAATTGTCAATATCCTAGTTGTCATTTTGCATACAGTTGTGCACAGTTTTGCAAGATACTAACATGGGGAGGGAAAGGGTCCACAGGATTTCTCTGTATTATTTCTTACAACTGTATATGAATCTATATTTCAAAATAAAAAGCTTATTTAAAGATAAAATAAAAATGAAAAATTTTAAAGTTTGGTTAGCCAGTCAAAATAAACATATAAATAAACAAAATAAAAAATAAGATATTCAGCAGAGCACAGATGATTTTTAGGGCAATGAAAGTATTCTGTATATTATAATAGTGGATACATGTCATAAATTTGTTCAAATCCCCTTGAGGCCATTATGTTAAGTGAAATAAATCAGACACAGGAAGACAAATACTGTGTGATCTCATTTCAATGTGGAATCTAAAAAGGCCAAACTCATAGAAATAAAGAGTAGAATGTGGTTACTAAGGGTTAGGGGTGGGAGAAACGAGATGTTGGTCATAGGGTACAAACTCCCAGTTGTAAGATGAAAAGGTTTTGGGGATCTAACGTACAGCATGCTGACTATAATTAACAATACCATACCACATACTTGAAAGTTTTTAAGAGAGTAGATCATAAATGTTATCATCACTGATGAAAAAAAAAAAAAAAAAGGTAATTATGTGGGGTGATGGAGGTGTTAAAAACTAACCTTACTGTGGTAATCATTTCACAAAATGCACATGTATCAAATCATCACATTTTATATTTTAAAGTTACATGTTATATGTAAATAATATCTTAATAAGTCTGGAAAAAATTAAAAATAGAAACAAATCAATTTATCCAAATTCACTGAATGTGCAACAAAAAAGAGTGAACCCTAATGTCCTATGGACTTTGGGTGATAATGATGTGCCAGGGTAGGTTCATCAGCTGTAACAAGTATACCACTCTAGTGGGGAGTGGGGAGAATGGGGGGGCTATTTATGGGTGGTGGCAGGGAATATACAGAAAATCTTTATCTTTGCTCAATTTTGCTGCAAACTTAAATCTGCTCTAAAAAAATAAAGTCTATCAAAAATAAATAAAATATTAAATAAAAATGGTTGGTACACACAGGGAAATATATTCAATTTTTAAAAGTAGTAAGCATAGCCCTGGCCGGTGTGCTAAGTGGTAGAGCATTAGCCCAGGCAACGAAGGGTCATGGGTTCGATTCCTGGTCAAAGGCATGTACCTGGGTTGCAGATTCAATCCCTGGCCTCAGTCAGGGCGCATGTAGGAGGCAACCAATGAATGTGTCTCTCTCACATTGATATTTGTCTCTCTCTCTCCCCCTTTCCCTAAAAAAAAAAAAAGTAGTAAGCATAATGCAAAATAAAAATAATAGACATAATTTTCTGCTTATCAGATTGGTAAAAATAAATAAGTTGACAAAACCCCGTAGCAGCAAGGGGGTGGGAGATGGGCAGGCAATATTATACACTGTAAATTCACGTAAGTTTTCTAGAGGGAAGTTGGGCAATTTGTATAAAATTTAAATAAGCCCACTCAATGTTCCCGTAATTCTGCTTCTAGAATATTCTCCTAGGAAAATGAACAAAGATGTGTGTATATATATATATATATAAGATAGTTCATCATAGAATTGTTTTAAAGAGCAAATACTGGAAACAATTGAAATGTATGTAATTAGTTAAATAAATTAAGGCATACTCATGCAGTGTAATGCCATTAAAATTAAAATGATAAAATAGATCTATATTATTGACATGAAAAGATATTCTCTAGACACTGTTAAAATGTTTTTAAAAGTGCCTCCCTCTCTCTTAGGGATCCTGGTTTATTTGGTCTTCAGTCCCCCTGGAGCTAATGCTCTCCCAAATCTGTGTAGGGAAGACAGAGATGACCTTCTCCTTAGGGTGACCAGACAGTTTGGTTTCTGGAATAGTTCTGAATACAAATATTTCAACCTGCTGTCCCCATACAGTGGGGACACTCCTAATTATAATGCCCATTTTATAGCTGTGGAAACTGAGGCTCATGAAGTTGAAAAATTTGCCTAAGTTTTCTATAGGAGTTTCCTCTCCTGGGTCTATGGAATGAAAAGAGGCCTGCTCTGTGCCCTCTCAAAATGTGCTGGAGGTTGCCGAGAGCAGGAAGGTTAAAAGGGTGTGGAAATGGGAGCTGAAGAAGAAATCAAGGTGGAAGAGGAGGCGAGGCTAGGTTTTGGGGAGAGGGGAGTGGCATAGAGAAGGTAAGGCAGGATGTCGCAGGAGACCCTCAGCCCCTCTCACCACAAAGTCTTGCCTCTGCAGACACAACCTTCAATAATGCCTATCAAAAGTGGGCTTTCAGCAAATGATGAATGACTAAATAAACAAATGAATGAATATAAAGAAATGCAGTTTATTAGTGTGTTGGAAATACAAAAAACCCCAAAACCCTTCTCAGACCTCAGCGGTCACAGGTCTCTCTAAGTCACCCCACACTCACCAAATATGTGAGTCTCTTCAAGTCTCCTCAAATCTGGACAGCCATGGGGTGGGAGGGGGCCCTGTGCCCAGTCTATGGGGGTGGAGGCTCAAGAGCCATCACCATTCTGGGTCTGTGCTCAGCTGTTTACAGGCCCACAGATCTGAGCCCCTGGAGTTCCCTGGTGGGGCCATGCATGCTAGGCCCCCTTGCCTCAGAACTACGTCTTCGAGTGCAGAGAGATGAGACCTGGTCCCAGGCTTTGCAGGCAGAGAAGAACTTGGTGTCATCAGGACAGTGATGGTGCCCTGACCTCTAGGTATGGCAGGACCAAGATCGAGGTGTCACCAGCCCCCAGAAGGTTGTCTGTGCCAGAGAAAAGTGAGCTATGAATGAGGTCCCTCCCAGTGCCCACTCTGTGCACCCAAGACATGGGAGCCCATCACCCCAAAACCAGACCCTGGCTCCTGATCACAGCTGTTGAATTGAGAAAAAATAGGGGGGTAGATGTTGGGAAGGAGAGTTGAGTATGGATGTCATGGTTCTTTACCTGGGGCAAGGGGCAGTGCCGCCGTGCAAACCACTCCTGGCAGTACAGGCTGACCTGGATGCCCTGGCCCAGAAACAGCATGGTCCACATCAGCACGTTCCACGCTGGACCCTTGTGCCGGTCATGCATCATGAAGTTCATCGGTCCTGAAGCAGGAGAAAAGATTGTCACCCCAGCTCCAGATACCGGTGCCTTCTGTTCCTGGCTGCTCTCCCATCCCAGGGTGCTGGGAAGAGATGGAACAGGAAGGTCCCATTGGGAAAGATCTTGAACCCAGCTCCAGAAACCTATGGAGGTCTCAGCTGGTTCCTGTAAAACCAGGATTCCTCAGTTTACCCTTCAATATCCTGGATCTCAAACTGAACCTCCCAACCTCTACCAGTTTTCTCCCCTTTCTCTCTGTGTGTTCTGTTCAGATGCTCCTCTCCAGCCAGAAATCTCCCACATCCCCAGATACCCCCTTGCTGCCATCAGATGCTGCCTCCATCCCTGCCCCCAAGTCTCTCCCCACTCCAGCTCTCACATACAACTCTCACGCCTTCTCCCAGAAGGTATGCACATCCCCTTCTGTCCTGTGGCTGTGGCCTCCCCCATCAATCTGGATTCTCCACGACCAGTTGCACAGGCCTCCTTCCTCTGGATGAACTCCCCCCCAGTGGTACACAGAAGCCAAGCTCACCTCCAATGACAAGGAAGAGTATCATCATGACAGGGTAGAAGAAGCCCAGGACAAAGCAGAAGATGTACTCATGGACGACTGCAGAGACCAGGAACACGCCCAGCATGGCTGCCCCTCGGGCCTGGCCACCAAGGAGCTGGAAGGGGTAGGGGCAGGAATACGGAATGACTCTCCGTAGGACCCCTCCACAAAAACCCCCTCTTTAAGAAAGCCAGGAGCATATGTGGTACAATGGAAAGAATATGGGATTTGAGGTCAGAAGGGCTGACATGCCTTATTCAAGAGCATTTTATTAGCCCATTGGGCCTTAGATGCAATTTTAAAAAGGGGATATAATAACATTTCTTGGGGTTACTGTGCAGATTAAATGTGTGTAACAACTCTTGGTAACTGAAAATTGATATATTCATGTTCTTTAGGAGGGCAGAATATAGTCATGTTCTCTGTGGAGGGGGTGGAATCAAGGATAAGAAAGAAAGGAAGTTGGGTCACAAGATGAATTTTCTGCCCATTGGGTTGGGTAGGATGGGGCAGATGGAAGTCAGGGGACCCGCAGATTGGATGGTGCAGAGGGAGGAAAGGAGAGGGTGTCCCAGAGGCTCCACTAACTGGGAGCTGAGAGGTTCTGCAGGGCCGTACCCACAGCCCGTCCTGGTACACGTAGCTGTACAGCCAGTCGTGGACCACCACATTCCACGTTCGGTAGTAGTTGGAGAAGGACGTGGAGTTCCACCAGTCCTGGGGGAGGGGAGGGGAGGGGTGGGAGGAGTAAGCATCAAGGCCCCCTCTCTTCCCAGTCCCAGCTTCTCACCCCTGCCCCCTGCCCTAATGTCCTCCCACAAGGACTGACTACAGGCAAAACAGAAACAGCAAGCACTCTCTCAGCTCCCTCTTCAGGACCTGGGGTGCCTGCCTTCCCTGTTATTCCCCCCTCTTTTTGAGACTCCCCCTCCATCCACACAAAAGCAGTTAGCCCTGGCTAGTCAGGAGGCGGAGGGGTGGCATTTTAGCTACACCCAGAGGACAAATTTCTCATTGTGGGAGGTTGATGGCACAGCTAAGGGGACACCCAACATAGCCACCATCCTCCCCAGATGCCTCCCTATCTCTCCCTGACTCTAGCTCCCAAGTGGCCCAGGTCCAGGCCACACCCGGTAGAACATCCTGTCTCCAAATCGTAGCATCTCCGCGAAGGCATTGAGCCAGCAGTGGAGGAAGGCAAAGAAGATGAGCAGCAGCATGAAGATGCCTGGCAAGTGGGGACAAGGGGCTGCAGGTTAGACTGGCCCACCTGGGACCCCCAGGAAGATCTGAGGAGCCCTTCCCCAGCAACTAGGCCTCAGTCCTACCCATCATATATCAGTTATTTACTAAGTCATGCCTTTATTAATTCATCCATTTGCTCATGAGCTCCATGCCAGAGATTGGGGATATAAGATGATTTTCAAAGCCCCTGGCCATTGAGAGTTCAGTGGCTGGAGAAAGAGAGAGAGGAGAGAGACAGAGACAGGGACAGAGAGGCATGTCCAGCCACACATCAAGGTCAAATGCATTGAGAGTAACTGTGGTGCCATCAATGTGCTTGGGAGTGCAGAGCACAGGGTAGGTCATGGTAATTGATGGTTTAAAAGGGGAAGGCTTCCTAAAGGAGTGCCTTTCACATGGGCCTCTAAGAAGAAACTGCAGTGAAAGGGCATTCCAAACTGAGGGACTAGTATGAGCAAAGGTCTGAAGGCATGAAAGTACATGCCTTTCAGGGAATGGCTGGGCTTATGGTGGGATGTGATGCACAGGAAAGGCCTTGAATGCCAGGCCAAGATTCAAATCTTATCTGGAGATCCCAGCAATGGGGAGTCACTGGAGCTTTTGAAGCAGGATCAAGAATGATTAATCTGTAGGAGGGAAGTTCATCTGGGCAGTAATATCCTCAGGGGCAGATGGGAGAGGAAAGATTCAGGTGGGAGGGACACAGGTTGGGAGGCTGATGTGGAAAAGGGGAGCAGACGGCAATCTGAACTGAGACCCTGACAATGGGCAGTGATAGGAGGGGACAGAAGTGAAGGGAGATTCGGAGGGAGAAGGTGTTGAAACTGACTGAAGGTAAAGAGCAAGAGGAGTGAGAAATTCCTGCCTAAGCCTTTCTAGGGCGCAGCCTTCCCCAGTCCTGCTTTGGTGGGCATACCTGGCAATGTCGCATGCATGACCGAGAGCACCAGGGCTCGGGTGCTGAAGGGCTCCCGGCTCATGTTGGCAAAGACAGGAACACAGAGGCGGTCCAGGATGAAACAGGCATACAGGACGCAGCACAGGGCCTAAGAGGGAGTGGTGGACACCTAACTTTGAGAGGGGGCACTGGTAGCTGCCCCCTCACTGTGGAATTGACTCTGGCCCAGCATCTGCCTCTTCTTCCCTCTGACCTCCTCCCCAGGCTTCCTCCACCCCACTCCCAAAAAATGTCCCCTCAGCCATCATGAGTCACAGGTGGTCCACCATTTTACCCCATCTTCTGACCTGGGCAAAGTTCTTGGCCACATAATTCCACCTGATGTTGGGTGTCCTGCAGCAGCAACGGGGATTATATGTTTCTTGTTCCCTGCTCAGGCCAGGACCCAGGTTCTGGGGCCCTCTCTCCATAGCCCCTCAATTGCTCAGGCCTAGGAGGGTTATCTGGGGAGGTGGGGAACTAGAACACTTAGCAGAGATGGTGAATGGATTTTTAGCTTGTGTGTCAACTAATGTGACGAACCATCTGGAGTTTGATCTGGATTGAGGGATTTCCCAGGATCTAGGATTTTCAGTGCTAAACCAGGGACAATGCTGGGCAAACCAGGACAGTTGATGACCCTCTTGTCACCATGGGCTGGGCAAGGAGAAGGGGTAGTCTACCTGCCACTTCTTTCTTATCTCTGTGATGGGGATGCTTCCTGAGAAAGTGTCTGGGGTGAGGCTAGGGACCTCAGGGAGAGGAGAAGAGGAGGGGAAGGTCCCTGATGGGCTCAGGCATTTGGGGAAAGGGTGCAGGGACTTACCTGGGGTAAGTCTCCCTGTAGATGAGTGTGGGGCAGAAGAGGAAATAGAGGTAGCTGGAGAAACTGGGGGCCAGGACCCTCTCTCCTGGGGAGGAGTGAGAAGGGTCCATCAGTGAAGGGGGAAGGGAGAGAGGGCAGAGGTAAGGGAGGCTGGGACTAGGGTGTGGAGAGCTGACCAGGATGGAAGTGCAGGGGCTGGGGAAGGGCTGGATATTGGGTCTGAGGTGGGGTGGGGGAGGTGAAACTGGGCAAGAGCTGAACCCCTCTTTTACTTCCATTCCAGGCACCCCATTTTCTGGCACAGAGCCTGCTGTGGCTGAAGCTTTATTTGGCACCCAGAAGTTCCACTACCCATTCTCCCTCTCTCCAGGCTGGACCTGGAAATGGGAAAGCATCAGAAGTTCTGGGCAACAGAGGTGTCATCTCTGAATGGGGACCTGAGAAGGCCTAATGTCTAAGGCGTATAGAGCCCAGGTGGAGGCCAGAGGTGTGCCCAGTGGGCAGGGTGGGCTTAGGAAGTCAGAGCTTTTGTGAGGATCCTGCCACTGCTGGCTTTATCCAATCAGCCAAGAGGACTGAGCTCATGGCAGCGCCAGCTGAAGGCCTCACCTCCTCTGGCACGAAGGATACCAGGCACAGCCTCTCTCAGGAAGGAGTAGCTTTTCATCAGGAGTCTGACCTGAGATGGAGGAGAAGAGAGGTTAAGTTGCTGTGTGGCTCTAAGCATATCACAATCTCTCTGTCCTCCCCATTGAGAGGGGGGAGGGAGAGAGTGAATGGGGGAGAGAGAGGGGGAGAGAGAGCTGGAATAAAGCAGGCAGGTCATAAAACACGTACGGTCAAAGCACATACTTTATCTTTTTGCCGGATTACTTTACTGCTGGGATGGATCGAAAGTGAGGGGGTACCGAAAAGGCCAGGGCCTTCGTTGGGCCAACCCCTGTGAGTCAGATTACATTTGACTCGCTCCACTTCCTTTACGTTTCTTCGGAGCCAGCCCGTCCGCTCAAATCCCTCGCAACGAACTCCTCCCCTAGTAACTAGCTCCACCCCGCCTCTACTGTAT